GGGGGTATAACTATATTAATTTATTACTTTTCATATGAATATCCCCCAAATATAGTACCCGGTTCCATACAAAGTACTAATCAATTTCAAAAGTCAAAGTTTTGAGTACTATAAGCAGTGCGATTTTAGGTAGCGTTCCCACAAAAAATGTTCACCTGTAATTTTGATCAATCCAAATTTAGGATCAGGTGTAGCGTGATAGTCAAAAATACGTGTTTTGTTTGTTTTCTAAGTAACGTAAAATTAAAGCTAAGAAAACTTATAGTTAGGCCTAGGATTAGAAAAGTGTAGTATGTTTCACTAAAATTTCACAAGAAACATTTTTAATTCGGTCGCAGGTGGTTTTTTAAAGCAGCTAATCTGGTATATGACTCGGCCTTTTCTTTATCAACTGGTATTCCAAGCTTCCCGTGCCAATAAATATCACCCAAATTAAAAAGCGCAGTAGAATTCTCATAATCTGCGGCCATCATCATATATTTCATTATTTCAGCAACGTTCTTACTTTTGTTTTCAATAAGAGCAAACGCGTAGCGAAGTTGTGCATCGGCGACACCATTATCTGCTGCTTCTTTAAAAAGACGAAGAGCAGCTTCAGGATCCTTATGTCCGTTAAGTCCAGTTAACAAGTAATAACCCTTCCAATATTTGGCTACATTGTTTCCAAGTTCTGCGTGACCAACAAAGCATTCCCAAGAAACCTTGTAATTTTTCGCTTTGTGTTCTTTGATGCCATCTTCAAAAGGTATGAGGGTTTGTATTGGAGGTATTGAGTATTCAGTTAAGTCACAAGGCATTTCAATCTGTGATTCTGTTAATTCTATATCTGGGATTTCAATATCACAATGAGGATCCTTAGGACGTATCTGAGGAGAATTTTCCTGAAACTGTTCATAAAGTTCTCTTAATTTCAATTGTACTTCTAAATCTGAAGGACGTGCGGAAGGTTCATCTTGCCAAGCTTTTATAAATAATTATTCCAATTAAAAGCTTGCTAATGACACATTAATATGAATGAATAATATGAGGTTCACCTTTTTTAATGATTTTCGCAAGTTCATTTGGAATTTCTGATGGACAAAGTGCAATTTTAAGAGTTTCACGTTTTTTATTCATGACATGTTCTTGAATAGCAGTCACACTATTCATGTTTTTATAAGGAATTTTTTGATGACAGAGTTCCCAAAGCAACATTCCAAAACTATAAAATAATATGTTTAATTTTATGAACTTAAATTATTATTAGTTAAAATATTTAATATTTACCTGAACATTTCACATTGATGATTATACCGTTGTTCGGTGCCACCTTTTGTTACACGCATTTTTTCTGGTGCTAACCATCTTACAATATCTAACAAGTTTTTAACTTCTGCAGACAATCCTTGAACAGTACGACTCAGTTCGAAATTTGAAAGTTTAGCCTCATGACTATCCGTAATCTATTATTGCATAGAAATTCATTATCAAATATTTTAAGGTATAGATATTAAAAACGTGAATGCATTCGTACCAAAATATTTTCACAACGAACATCGTGATGCAAAATATTACATTGATGTACGAATACGAGACCGTTACATATATCACGAGCAAATTTCAGTTTCAAAGGCCATTTTATTTCATATTTTGTGTACATCTCTTTCAAGTTGCCGTACGATGCCCAGTTAAAAACCATTACATCGTTGTTATCCACTTTCGAAAGTCCATAAAAAGTGACAACATTCGGACACAAGGTTCCTAATTTAAGTAGAATGATCAATTCTGTTTGACCTTTTTGAGATTGTGCTGTATCGTTATTTTCGATATTTGGAACTTTTTTTCAAGCAACTTCTAATCCACAAAACAATTTTTTAACAACTGTTTTTCTGCTACCACGAACATTATCATCTGATGCAAATGGTTCATTTAATTGAATCGGGTCCA